GAAATTTGGGGGGAAATGGAGAAATTTGGGTAAAAATGGAGAAATTTGGGGGGGATTTGGGGGGAAATGGAGAGATTTGGGGGGAAATGGAGAAATTTGGGGGGAAATGGAGAAATTTGGGGGGAAAATGGATGAATTTGGGGGGAAATGGGCAAATTCGGGTTGAAAACAGGAATTTTGGTTGAAATGGAGAAATTTTGGGAGAAAATGGACAAATTTTCGGTGAAAATCGAGAAAATTGGGGTGAAAATGAGCAAATTTGGGTGAAAACGGAGAAATTTGGGTGGAAATGGAGAAATTTGGGTGGAAATGGCTTGGGGGGAAATGGAGAAATTTGGGGGGAAATGGAGAAATTTGGGGGGAAAATGGATGAATTTGGGGGGAAATGGGCAAATTCGGGTTGAAAACAGGAATTTTGGTTGAAATGGAGAAATTTTGGGAGAAAATGGACAAATTTTCGGTGAAAATCGAGAAAATTGGGGTGAAAATGAGCAAATTTGGGTGAAAACGGAGAAATTTGGGTGGAAATGGAGAAATTTGGGTGGAAATGGCCAAATTTGGGGTGAAAATGGGCAAATTTGGCAAATTTGGGGTGAAAATGGGCAAATTTGGGTGGAAATGGAGAAATTTTGCGTGAAAGAGAAATAATGGGTGGAAATGGAGAAATCAAATTTGGGGTGAAAATGGGCAAATTTGGGTGGAAATGGAGAAATTTTGCGTGAAAGAGAAATAATGGGTGGAAATGGAGAAATTTGGGGTGAAAATGAGCAAATTTGGGTGAAAATGGAGAAATTCGGGGTGAAAATCAACAAATTTTGGGGGAAAATGGGCAAATTTGGGTGAAAAAAGATGAATTCGGGTGGAAATGGGCAAATTTGGGTGAAAATGGACAAATTTCGGGTGGAAATGGATGAATTTTGGTGGAAATGGGCAAATTGGGGTGAAAATGATGAATTTGGGTGGAAATGGATGAATTTCAGGTGGAAATGGACAAATTGGGGTGAAAATGGAGAAATTTGGGCGAAAATGGACAAATTTGGGGTGGTGGGATGAGGTTATGGGTGGAAGGAGGAAGGGTTCGGGTGGTGGGACAAGTTTTTGGGGTGGAAAAGGCCCCTTTTGGGGCACCCCGAGTTGCTCCTCACCCTTCTTGAGGCGCTGCTGGTTCTTGCTGTTGATGACCAAGGAGCCCTCCCTGAACTCGATGCCCATCGCGAAGCTGGGGAGACCCAAGGTGCTGGTCACCAGGGGGGCACCCACTGGGGTCCCATCTCCTCCTCCTCCTGCTCCTCCTCCTCCTCCTCCTCCTCCTCACCCCAGGTTCTTGGTGATCTTGCTCAGCAGCTCCGGCTTCTGCTTCTTCACCACGTCCATGACGGCGCCGTAGACGTCGCACAACTTGGCCCCTGCCGGGACAATGGGGACGGGGAGGCCTCGAGAAGGGCCCAGAGCTCCAGAAACCACCTCAAACAGGGCCAGAACCCACCAAAAGAGGTCCAGAACCACCTCAAAGAGCTCCAGAACCACCTCAAAGAGGTCCAGGACCCACCAAAAGAGGTCCAGAACCACCTCAAAGAGGTCCAGGACCCATCAATGGAGCTCCAGAACCACCTCAAAGAGGTCCAAGGCCCCCTCAAGGAGATGTAGAGCCCCATAAGAGGTCCGGAACCCCCTCCGAGACCTCCAGAACCCACCTAAAGAGGTCCAACACCCACCAGAAGAGGTCCAGAACCCACCAAAAGAGCTTCAGATCCACCTCAAAGAGGTCCGGAACCACCTCAAAGAGGTCGAAGACCCCATCAAGGAGATGTAGAGACCCATAAGAGGTCCAAAACCCCCTCCAAGACCTCCAGAACCACCTCAAAGAGGTCCAAAACCCACCAAAAGAGCTTCAGATCCACTTCAAAAAGGTCCAGAACCACTTCAAAGAGGTCCAAGACCCCATCAAGGAGACGTAGAGACCCATAAGAGGTCCAAAACCCCCTCCAAGACCTCCAGAACCCACCAAAAGAGATCCAGAACCACCTCAAAGAGGTCCAGAACCACCTCCAAGACCTCCAAAACCCACCAAAGGAGGTCCAAAACCACCTCAAGGAGATGTAGAGCCCCATAAGAGGTCCAGAACCACCTCAAAGACCTCCAGAACCCACCAAAAGAAGTCCAGAACCCACCAAAACAGCTTCATCACCACCTCAAAGAGCTCACG